TATATTGAGTTCAGTTATTCGTGAGTTGAACAGAGCCAAGGTAAGTGTTCTCTTATATTCTTTTCAAGCTTAAGTTGTGGTTTAGCTTTCCAGCTCGCATACTCGTACATTCCATGTACTGATGCCAGTTGGCCTGCATCTTATTATGATGCAGATACAGGTACCCCGGATCAGCATCCTGCACGTCGTTGATCCAGCTGAGCACTCCAGAGTCTGTGGTGAGCCTCCTTGCATTCCGTAGGACTCAATTATTTTGTGTACTTAGTTTTGTTCTATTTAGATGTTGCGGGGTCTGTCCCCACATCCATATCAGTACATTAGAGGCTTTATAGACAGTCAGTCAGTCAGTCAGTAGTTTTTGTAGTCTCTCATCCATGTATATGTATGTATATGTAAATATTCTATTTTGAGACTCGAGTTGCCCCTTTGGGCCATATTTTATCGAGTTAAGTTGTTTATGTCTTTGCATGGCATTGAGTTATTCTGTTGAGTCAGGTTTCCGCTGAGTTAAGAAAGCCAGGCCAAGGGTTCGCTTGGGGCCAGCAATGGTCTCCGAGTGCCGGTCCCGCCCAGGGTGTAGGCTCGGGGCGTGACACTCCCACTCTCTGCCCTCTCTCGCTTGCCTCTCTCGTCCCTCTCCCAATCTTGCTCACTCTCTCCTCCCTCTCCCAATCTCGCTTGCCATATATACAAATGCATATGTATAATATACAATTATCTAACCGTTATACATATACAATTCACCTCTCTCCCACTCTCTGCCCTTTCTCGCTCGCCTCTCTCCTCCCTCTCCCAGTCTCGCTCACCTCTCTCCTCCCTATAACATGTAGCTACAAATTGTAATTATCAAACTATAGCTGTTGAGAGTAATTATGCTATTTTTGAGTGGCTATATGTGAAAGTTCCTGATTATAATATAGATAATTCAACTCTTCAAATTATGCCATTTCAAAAGAAAAATTCAAAAATATTAAGTGGTGAAAAACATTTAGATTCATGTGCATATAGTGTACACACAATATTCATCGAACTCTAAATCAAATATCAAATGTAAAGTAAATTTTTGGGTAAATTAGGAACGAAGTATAAAATTATCTATTAATTTCATAAAATTGACAAATATTGTTTCAGATTCGAAAATAGTATATAAACAACTATTATTAGCTGGATAAAAGTAATAAAGTAAAATCTTAGTAATTGGTTATAAAGTTCTAAAATTTAGGACCACCTACACAGTTTGGTGTCCTGCCTATGCCTACCCATATTTTGCTCATCTAAATGTTTGGCAGCTGCTGAAAAAGCAAATCAAACCAATTGAAGCTCATTACCATTTCATTTGGTCGGCAAACCAACGAGCCAAGAAGCTCATTTACTCAAGAAGTGTCATTAATGTTATTTGTAGGGTTATTTTTATTTTTTCAGATATTTTTTATGTATATAATACTAAATTTTTTCAACGAAGCAGTGTCGGTTGATACCCCATGACATGGGTGGGTTCGGTCCTGAACAAAAGTAATGTATCGTGACTTTGAACGATGTATCGGGACAAGTGTATCTTGTATCAACAAAGCTGGTAATTATATATCGGAACGTGATGTATCGGGACGTTGAGCGATAGATCGAGACATGTGTGTCTTGTTTATCAACAAAGGTAATGTATCGGGACGTGAGTAATGTATCCGAAATCCTTAAATTTTAAGGGATTTTTTTAATTTGAAAAAGAGTAAGAATAAGATGTAATTAGTTGTTAACATTATAAGATTGGTATATTTTTTACTAATTTTTTACCCAATTAGTCTCTAGCTACTTGTTTGAAACCTATGAAGTTTAATTTTCTAGAGTGCACTATTTATAAGTGGCAACTCCTAAGCTTACGTACACATTTAATAGGTTAGTCTAAATAATTTATTGCTTATAAATTAGTTGTCTTTGTTCATCTACATATATAGTAGTATAGTAATGTACAAAACACACTGCATAATTTCTTGAATATTTCAAACACATTTGTATCAAACAATATGAGTAGTGTATCAAAACTTGTATCCTCAGTTTGTAAAAAAATAATCAAACCATATTCACCTACTCCAATTTCACTTCGTTGTCTACAAAACTCTCTTTTCTTGATCAAATAATTTGTTGCATCCATACCCCTATTGTCTTTTTTTACCCTAAATTGAGTAACACATGGTCAAATAAACCAAGTAATGTTGTATCTCAACATCTTGAGAAATCCCTTTCAAAAGTTTTGACCAATTATTATCCATTAGCAGGGGAATTGAATGACAATATTTCTGTTGATTGTAATGATAATGGAGTTGAATTCTTCACTACAAAAATAGATTGTCCAATGTCTCAAATTCTCAACGACCCTTATGCTGATAAACATAATATAGTCTATCCAAATGGAGTTCCTAATGCGTATTCATACAAGGGTAGTCTTGCAGTGTTTCAACTTAGTCACTTTAATTGTGGCGGAATTGCAATCAGTATATGTTTTTCACATAAGATTGCGGATGGATATACATTATGCAACTTCACTAACCATTGGGCTACTATAGCGCGTAATCCTATGAGTTCAGAGATATTACCAATGACTCCTCAATTTAATGGAGCGTCTTATTTTCCACCTATAAAAGAGGATTTGTCACAAACAACATTCATTCCTGAACTAGAAACAGAAAAATATTCAATCAAAAGTTTTTCTATCTCGTCCTCCAAATTAACCGCGCTGAAAGCTAGAGTTATTAATCAATCAGAAGTACAAAATCCGACTGATACAGAAGTTGTGTCAGCATTCATTTACCAACGCGCCATGGCTACAAAAAAAGTGGTGACCTCTACACTCCACCAGGCTTTAAGCTTACGTCCTCCATTGCCAAAAAACACTATGGGAAACAATGTTTCTCCATATTGTATACATACAAAAGATGGGAAAGAAATGGATTTGCCACAAATAGTTGGTAAACTACGAAAGGCCAAAGAAGAATTACGAAAAAAATATAAAAATGCTCAACCAAATGAATTTGTATCTATAGCACAAGAAGCACTTAATGAAATGATTTTCAACGGTTCATCTTCTAATTTCTATATGAGTAGCACCATCAAATTCCCCTTTTATGATGTTGACTTTGGATGGGGAAAGCCTGAAAAAGTTTGTACACCATTTAAAAACATGTTTACGTTGATGGATACTAAAAATAGGGATGGAGTGGAAGTGATAAGTGGCTTGAAGGAACAAGACATGTTAGCTTTTGAGAGGGATGAAGAGCTCCTACAATTTGCTTCTCCAAGTAGCTAGCTAAATCAATTTTTATCGTAGTGGGTTGTGTGAAATAAAAGAGTGTTGACACTATTAAGTCGTAACAAGTGTTGTTACATTTTTACTCGATAATTGGTATTGTTGTTACTCTCTTGTTCTTGCTATTTAGCGTGGATATTATTACTGAATTAGATTATATTATTTTTCAATAACATGGTATTGGAGTCATGACAAATAATAGTCTACTTTCTTTTCATTATCCCCATCTCACAATAGAATATTTAGATGTAACTGAGTTAATGCCTTTGCAACTAGAGTCGCTAAAGCCTGAATTTTGACACAATTCATAAGCTACCTTATATTGCTGATACGCATATATGCGATTGAAGAAGAAACCAAATACATAGTATACTTGTGATTATGGATATCCAGATAAAAGTAATGGTCTCAAACAGTTAAATTTCTGTGACTTTTAGAGAGATCTAAAACTTATTCACCTGCCTCTTGTTCTTGAACAATATTTCTTGCAGAATCCTCAACAGCAGTGTCACAGTTATGTAATTCAATGAAAAAACATGTATTGTACATGAACAGAGGACAACAGATTCAATATGTGAATGCATAATAGATTGATAACATTATCTATTCCGAATAATCACATAACACGAAATAGATATTATAGTACATCAATAAATACCGTTCAGAACCCCGTCGACTGAAATGACGCGAAAAATCCAGACCCGTAAAGGAGAAGGGCCGGTGGGGGCATTTGGGAAAGTCGGGCCGATCGGGTGTCTTCATTCAAGCGACGGTACAGAAGAAGAACGAAACGAAGTGAGAGGCCGGGGTCACAAATGTATTAAATATGCTTATTCATTAAACATGAATTTTACAAATGATCAAAATAAAAAAGAAAGTGAAAGATTTTACTTTTCAAAATATTGAGAAAAGGTTCTTCATTTGGAAGATGGCATTAGATGATCCCTCGAAATAAGCTTCATTCCCCTGTATATGCAAGATAAAATGTAGAAATCATCAATCCTAATTTCAAGGAGGTACGATGAGAGAATCGAAGAAGTGTTTAGAACTTACTGTGACTGTTATGTATGTAAACCTTAAAGGAAATTATTTCCCATGTCGTCTTGTTCTTGTACAATATTTCTTGCAGAATCCTCAGCAGTAGTGCTGCAATCATGTAACTCAATTGACTCCAAAGTACAAATTTCCCCAAAGTCTGCTGGAATTTCTTGCAGGCCGCGACACTTCTTCAGAACTAGGCGTTTTAGATTTGGGATGTTATTACTGCTAGCTTCCCAACGCGCAAGATTTGTGAGACTCAGTAACAACAACTTCAAGCTTTTGAACTTACCTTCATCACACAATATCCATTCATCACTCATGGTTGGACAATGTTTAAGTTTGAGCTCTTCAAGATTTGGCAACATCATAACAGTTGATGATATGTCTGCCCAATCAAAATCATGATAAAAATTTAAAGACAACCGCCTAAGTGATGTTGGAAAACCAAATCTCTTGATGGGGTGTTGAAAAAAAGTTGCGTAAAACTTGAATGCTTCGAGTTTCGTCAATCTAGACATATCCAATAGCCGATGGGGAATAATTTCCCTGAAATGAGGTACATGAATGATCAACCTCTTTATATTGGGAATGCCAGAAAAGACTTCATTTGTACAACTGTTGAAGCAAACACCAGAAAGTTCCTCTAGATTTGGCATCCCAAGATGCTTATTTAGAATACTTTCTGTTTTAGGACTGGCTAAATAAGTGGCTTCTCTCAAATGCATATACCTCAAGTTCCTCATCATCCATATCTTCCCAGGTAAAGTTACATGAATAGAAAAACCTCTACAAATTAGAGTTTGCAAATTCTGAAGCTTTGAGATTGATTCAGGAATATCTCCGCTAAAGTGAACTCGGAGATATCTCAAATGAAACAATTTTGTAATCACAAGTGGAAACTACTCGAACCATACACGTTTATTGAATATGGCCAATACCTTGAGAAGGTTGAAACGGGAGAAAAATTGATGTAATTGGGGTTTAAGTTGTGGATCCAAGTAAGAAAAAAAGTAAATAGATCTGGCCACAGAGGGTAATACCTTACTACAATCATCAGCTGAATAAGATAAAGCTTGAAAACTGAAGCGACGAACATTATGCATTTGTGTTGGAAAAGTATGGTAAGTTCTGTTAACATACATATGCTTTGTCATTTCAGCTTCTGTCAAACAGAACTCACGCAGTAGATCATGTATTCCACATGTTTTTATCTCACCATTGAATCTCCTTTCTCTAGCCTGTATCAAGTTCCTGCTAATAGGGTCCTCCAAATAATCTATTGCCACTTCCTCCAAACTTTTACCATTTTCGGAAGTCCTTATAATGAAACCTTCTGCAATCCATAATTGGATCAATATCAGAGTCTCAAACTGAAAATCCTCTGGGAAACCACTCATAGATAGAAAGCAAGGTTTGAGGTGATTAGGCAAGTGGTGGTAACTCAAACCGAGCACTCCTAAGCATTTATCTGGATGACTAGCAATAATTTCACTCAAGGTTTGGGCAACATCCTTCCAACCTTCGAATGTCCTGGCCACTTTAGAGAGATGTCTAGCAATCACTGAAATTGTCAAGGGTAGTCCTCTGCATTTTTCTACTATTTCCTTTCCAATTTCTTCCAATTCGGGAGGATGATCATGTTTTGGTCCAAACACCTTATCACAAAGTAACTTCCAACCGTTTTCTAAATCCAAAAGGTTCATCTCATGAGGTCTACAAGCATTTGCATACATTGCTACCTCAGTTTCTCTAGTAGTCAATAAGATTCTACTCCCATTGTTGTAATTAGGAAATATTCCTCTTATACTATCCCAAACATCCCTACTCCAAATATCATCAACAACAACAAGGTATCTTCGACCCTTAAGGTTCTTTTGCACCAGGTCAGCTAACTCATTGTCATCCATCTTATCATAATCTCTTGCATTCACAATATCTATTTTCTTTAAAATGCAATGTAAAGCTTCTAACAAAACATTTCTACATCGAAATTCTTGAGATATTGTAACCCAAGCAAGAATGTCAAAGTGATACCTGATTGTTAGATGATCATAAGCTTTTCTAGCGAGTGTTGTTTTGCCAATGCCACCCATGCCTGATATTGTGACAATGTCTAGATCCGATGGTGGTCCTGTCAATCTTTTAATTATGATCTCCAAGTCATCATCAATTCCCTGAACGATACCATCTTCCAACTTATCTGACAGCATTGCATAACTTGTAGAAGAAGTACCAATCATGGAATCCCCGGATAATTCAAGAATTTGATCAGCATCATGAGAAACAATCTCCATCACCTGTTTCTTTATTGTATCCATTTTTTCAACAAGTGGTAGCAAATCCTGGTGTTGTAAAATTCCAAACATCCAGCTTCTCCCTTTGATGATTTGACGCGTTTTCAGCTCAACAATATCTTCGGCCTCACTAGCAGCATCTCTAATTTTTTCCTCCAAAGATTTGATTTTTCCAGGTTCAAATTCATCAAGAACTTTTTGGAAATATTCAGCAATAGCACGAAGAGAATCGAGCGTTTCAGCAGTATGACCATGAAAGAGTTCATGAAAATTTCGTTCGTCAAGAGATTGAATAAGAGAAATTACAGCACTATAAGCTGCCATCAAGTATTCAAGATTAATCAAAATATTGTAAATGGAATATTGTTTGAAGATGAACAAGCTCTGTTTGCAAGGAGAGAAATTTTTTGGTTGTAAGAAAAAACTTTGAATACGAGGGTTGAGTTATGACTCAATTTTTAGCTCATGCCCAAAAAAAACTAAGTCAATGCCAGTTGTGTGTGTGAAATTGGATCTGTCAATTCCAGTAGGTATATAGTACTAATGTTTTTCCCATCCCTTTTAGAAGCACTAATTTTTTTTTTATTTGTTCTTGATTGAATAAAACAAGCATCTTTACAGTTGTTAATTAATGGATCAGAAAAGCAACATTAATCAAATGAACAATACTAATTGGTGCTTTTTAAATTAAGAAAAAATTAACGGTATATAAGGCATAATACATAAACATGACACTCAAACTTGGTCTCAGGCTCCCTGATAAGTAAATATTCCAACTTTGAGAGTGGAAATGTAATCATCTTAACTTGATTTCAAATGACAACTAAATACTCTAACTCGTCCCTATTGTCCACATCCTGACATGACATATAGTTTTTGAAGGTGTCTAAATGAATTTTAATAACTGACAATATTTGATTTGAATTTGGTTATTTTCTTATCTATTCAAAGCATAATGTTTCCCCCTCTTTGTTACATATTTAAATTTATCTCAATTGAGGCTTAATAAGACTTATGAGCTTCCTAATTAAAGTCTAAAGAGTGTAACTTTTTTTTTCTTACTATGCGAAAGACAAAACTGGATTAAAAGTTTTAACTGATATTGTTAATTTAAAATATTAATCAGTTGTTGTCTATTCTCTTATTTATTATCATTGTCTACTATTTAGGCAGAATACCCTCACCCATTCAAAAATAGAAAGAATATAAATAAAGGCGCATACACGAGAAGGACCCCCCCCCCCCCTTCTTTCTTAGAATTCAACATTTATGATATGTTTTACATCTTGTTCGCTCACTCTTCATTCAGGGTGATTCGAACCAGGGGAAAGAGAGAAGGAAAAAAGAATTATTGATGGATAGGTAATATACCTCCTATTGATAGCTGTATTATATGGTATGTCATTGTATGTGACAGTTTCGTATTCTAATGATCCCGTCTTACCTGATGATTAGGATTTGCTTTCCCTATTGAAAAAAAGAGATCTGTATCAGTCCTTCCAATCAAGCAAGCGACCAACGATTGCCATCAAAGCAAGAAGTATAGACTATAGACTTGTAGGATCAAGTGGGAACTTGACAGGTCTCGCAGCTACTAAGCTTTTCTCAATTTATCATTTTTTTAATAGTGAAGATGTGAGTGGAAGAGTAATGGTAATTGATTAAAAGACTTGAACTGCAACAATCAAAGATAAAAATAATTTTCATTAAAACTAAGAGTTTACAAAACTAAACAGTAAAAAAAGATAATGGGCCAAAGATCTGTCACATTATTAGACCATAGTCCATAGTTATAATATAGATACATTCAACTCTTCAAATTATGACATTTAAAAAAAATTCAAAAATGTTAAGTGGTGAAAAACATTTAGATTCAAGTGCATATAGTGTACACACAATATTCATCGAACCCTAAATCAAATATCAAATGTAAAGTAATTTTTTGAGTAAATTAGAAACTAAATATAAAATTATTTATTAATTTTATAAATGAACAAGTATTGTGTGACATTCTAAAATAGTATATGAACAACTATTATTAGCCTGATGAAGTAATAAAGTAAAATCTTAGTAATTGGTTATAAAGTTCTAAAATTTAGGTCCACCTACACAGTTTGGTGTCCTGCCTATGCCTACCCATATTTTGCTCATCTAAATGTTTGGCCGCTGCTGAAAATAAATTATTTTTATTACAAGGAAGAAGAAAAAGCAAATCAAACCAATTGAAGCTTATTACCATTTCATTTGATCGGCAAAGCAACGAGCCAAGAAGCTCATTTACTCAAGAAGTGTCATTAATGTTATTTGTAGGGTTATTTTTATTTTTTCAGATTTTGTTTAGTATGTAATACTAAACTTTTTCAACGAAGCACTGTCGGTCAATACCCCATGACATAGGGTGGGTCCGGCCCTGAACAAAAGTAATGCATCGGGACAAGTGTATCTTGTATCAACAAAGCTGGTAATTATATATCGGAACATGATGTATCGGGACGTTGAGCGATAGATCGAGACATGTGTGTCTTGTTTATCAACAAAGGTAATGTATCGGGACGTGAGTAATGTATCCGAAATTCTTAAAAATTTAAGGGATTTTTTTAATTTGAAAAAGAGTAAGGATAAGATGTAATTAGCTCTTAACATTATAAGATTGATATATTTTTTACTAAATTTTTACCTAATTAGTCTCTAGCTACTTGTTTGTAACCTATGAAGTTTAGTTTTCTAGAGTGCACTATTTATAAGTGGCAACTCCTAAGCTTACGTACACATTTAATAGGTTAGTCTAAATAATTTATTGCTTATAAATAAGTTGTCTTTGTTCATCTACATATATAGTTGTATAGTAATGTACAAAACACACTGCATAATTTCTTGCATATTTCAAACACATTTGTATCAACAATATGAGTAGTGTATCAAAACTTGTATCCTCAGTTTGTAAAAAATAATCAAACCATATTCACCTACTCCAATTTCACTTCGTTGTCACAAACTCTCTTTTCTTGATCAAATAATTTGTTGCATCCATACTCCTATTGTCTATTTTTACCCTAAATTGAGTAACACATGGTCAAATAAACCAAGTAATGTTGTATCTCAACATCTTGAGAAATCCCTTTCAAAAGTTTTGACCAATTATTATCCATTGGCAGGGGAATTGAATGACAATATTTCTGTTGATTGTAATGATAATGGAGTTGAATTCTTCACTACAAAAATAGATTGTCCAATGTCTGAATTTCTCAACGACCCTTATGCTGATAAACATAATTTAGTCTATCCGAAGGGAGTTGCTAATGCGTATTCATACAAGGGTAGTCTTGCAGTGTTTCAACTTAGTCACTTTAATTGTGGCGGAATTGCAATCAGTATATGTTTTTCACATAAGATTGCGGATGGATATACATTATGCAACTTCACTAACCATTGGGCTACTATAGCGCGTAATCCTATGAGTTCAGAGATATTACCAATGACTCCTCAATTTAATGGAGCGTCTTATTTTCCACCTATAAAAGAGGATTTGTCACAAACAACATTCATTCCCGAACTAGAAACAGAAAAATATTCAATCAAAAGTTTTTCTTTCTCGTCCTCCAAATTAACCGCGCTGAAAGCTAGGGTTATTAATCAATCAGAAGTACAAAATCCAACTGATACAGAAGTTGTGTCAGCATTCATTTACCAACGCGCCATGGCTACAAAAAAAGTGGTGACATCTACACTCCACCAGGCTTTAAACTTGCGTCCTCCGTTGCCAAAAAACACTATGGGAAACAATGTTTCTCCATATTGTATACATACAAAAGATGAGAAAGAAATGGATTTGCCACAAATAGTTGGTAAACTACGAAAGGCAAAAGAAGAATTACGAAAAAAATATAAAAATGCTCAACCAAATGAATTTGCATCTATAGCACAAGAAGCACTTAATGAAACAATTTTCAACAGTTCATCTTCTAATTTCTATATGAGTAGCACCACCAAATTCCCCATTTATGATGTTGACTTTGGATGGGGAAAGCCTGAAAAAGTTTGTACACCACTTAAAAACATGTTTATGTTGATGGATAATAAAAATAGGGATGGAGTGGAAGTGATAAGTGGCTTGAAGGAACAAGACATGTTAGCTTTTGAGAGGGATGAAGAGCTCCTACAATTTGCTTCTCCAAGTAGCTAGCTAAATCAATTTTTATCATGTCGTACTCACAGTTAGAGTAATATCGTAGTTAGTTGTGTGAAATAAAAGAGTGTTGCTTGTTTTGAAGGTGTGGTAGTAGTCTCTTGACACTATCAAGTCGTAACAAGTGTTATTACATTTTTACTCCGTTAAAAGATATTTGCTATTGTTGTTACTCTCTTGTTCTTGCTATTTAGCGTGGATATTATTCCTGGATGAGATTATTATTTTTCAATAACATGGTATTAGAGCCATGACAAATAATAGTCTGCTTTCTTTTCATTATCCCCTTCTCACAATATATATATATATTATGGAAACAGGTGTCTACGAATGAAAATCATTCTGTGTCTTAAGATATTTGGTAGTTGTACAAAACTTGGTAATAAGAAACTTTGCCTCAAACAAGGAAGAAAGATCAACAAGTCCTCTCTCTCATCAGTCATTTTTGGATGATGATATGTTTGAGAAGGTGACTGATGCATCCACGTGATCAAAGGAAGCTTGAGAGATTCTACAAAATTTTCTCCAATGAGTTTGATAAAATGATAAAGGTAAAACTTCAAACTTTTAGGGATTATTTTGAATTTTTAAAAATATTGAAAGAATCCATTTCTAATTTCCGTTCAAGAGTGATGATTGTTGTGAATCAAATAAGAAGGTAGGGGGAGGAAGTAGACGGTATGTGTGTGGTAGAAAAGATCCTTTGCCCTTTAACACTTAAGTTTGATTATGTGGTGCATGGTATTGAGAATCTAAAGATTTACTCAATGACGATTGAACAATTGAAAGGTTATTTATCAAAATCAAGCATCCTTGAAAGATTATGGAGGAAAAAAGAGTACTTATAGAGGAAATGGACAAGGAAGATGTTGTGGGAGTTGTGGAATAGGAAGAAGCTATTGTAACAATGAGGACGTGACTATTACCAATGAAATGTGGTATGTCAAATCACTATAATAAAAGAGATATTTAGTGACAATATTTATTGCCGCAAAAATATTTAGATGTAACTGAGTTAATGCCTTTGCAACTAGAGTCGCTAAAGCCTTTAGCAACATTTATACAGAGTGTTGGTTGCTCTGTATGTTGTTCACATCAAACGTGATTTAGCTCTCTATACATACCTGTCTTCATCATGTGTTCAAACCGTATCTCTTTTCTTACTATTCCTTGACGTCTTTTTGGGGCTTTCGATGAGTGATTTCACGAAATTGATGTAAGTGAAATGGCTTGGTTAGTATCAACATTCCAACACAATTCATTAGCTGATCAAAGCCTGAATTTTGACACAATTCACAAGCTACCTTATATTGCTGATACACATTTATGCGATTGAAGAAGAAACCAAACACATAGTATACTTGTGATTATCGATATCTAGATAAAAATAATGGTCTCAAACAGTTAAATTTCTGTGACTTTTAGAGAGATCTAAAACTTTTTCACCTGACTGCTCGACCTCTTGTTCTTGAACGATATTTCTTGCAGAATCTTCAACAGTAGTGTCACAGTTATGTAATTCAATGAAAAACATGTATTGTACATGAACAGAGGAAAACAGATTCCAAGTGAAACCAACGATTCTTATACGCACATAATAAATTGATAACATTTTCTATTCCGAATAATCACATTACACGAAATAGATATTACAGTACATCAATAAATACCGTTTACAAAATACAAAATCACAAATGTATTAAAAAACGAAAGATTTTACTTTTCAAAATATAAATGAAAGGTTCTTCATTTGGAAGATGGCATTAGATGGTCCCTCAAAATAAGCCTGTATATGCAAGATAAAATGTAGAAATCATTATCTTAATTATTTGAAGGAGGTAAGATATAATAACAAAGACGAGAGAATCGAAAAACTGTTTACAACTTACTGCGACTGTTATGGATATAGATATTAAGGATATTATTTCCCATGTCCTCTTGTTCTTGTACAATCTTTCTTGCAGAATCCTCAGCAGTAGTGCTGCAATCATGTAACTCAATTGATTCCAAACTACAAATTTCCCCTAAATCTGTTGGAATTTCTTGCATCTTGTTGCAATTCTTCAGAACAAGGCGTTATAGATTTGGGAAGTTATCACTGCTAGCTTCCCAATGCTCAAGATTTAGTTTGCTCAGTAACAACAACTTCATGCTTTTGAACTTGTCTTCATCACTCAATCTCCATTCATCATTCAAGGTTCGACAATGTTTAAGTTTGAGCTCTTCAAGATTTGGCAACATCATAACAGTTGATGATATGTCTGCCCAAACAAAATGATTACACTTGCTTAAACTCAACCTCTTAAGTGATGTTGGAAAACCAAATTTCTTGATGGGGTTTCCCAAATAAGGTGACCCGTAAAACTTGAATGCTTCGAGTTTTGTCAAACTGGACATATCCAATAGCCGATAGGGAAACTTTGTATTGTTAAAAGGTAGAGAAATGATCAATCTCTTTAGATTGGAAATGCCAGAAAAGACTTCATTTGTACAACTCGTGTAACAAAGAATAGAAAGTTCCTCTAGATTTGGCATCCCTGTCACAAGACTTTCTGTTCTAGGACTGGGTAAATAAGAGGGTCCCTTCAGACGTATATACCGCAAGTTCTTCATCATCCATATGTTCTCAGGTAAAGTTATATCAAAATAATTACCACTACAAATTAGAGTTTGCAAATTCTGAAGCTCTGAGATTGATTCAGGAATATCTGCGTAAAATGGAACTTGGAGATATCTCAAATGAAACAACTCTGTAATCACAAGTGGAAATGATTCGAAGTATCCAATTGTATTGAAGATGGCCAATACCCTTAGAAGGTTGAAACGAGAGAAAAATTCATGTATTATAGGATTACGATGGTAGATGGGACATGTGCCGAGAAGCTTATGACGGGGTTTATGAAGTAGGTGTAATCGAGAAAATAAGTGGATAGATCTGGCCACAGGGGGTAATACCTTAAAACAATTTTCAACTGAATAAGATAAGGTTTGACAACTGAAGCGACGAACATTATGCTTTTGTGTTGGAAGAATAGGGTGAGTTCTCTGAACATGCATATGCTTTGTCATTTCAGCTTCTATCAAACAGAACTCACGCAGTAGATCATGTACTCCACATGCTTTTATCTCACCATTGAATCTCCTTTTTCTAGCTTGTATCAAGTTCCTGCTAATAAGGTCTTCCAAATAATGTTATGCCACTTACTCCAAGCTTTTACGACTTCCAACAGATGTCCTTATGAAACCTTCTGCAATCCATAATTGGATCAATCTCCGAGTATCAACCTGAAAGTCCTCTGGGAAACTACTCATAGAAAGAAAACAAGGCTTGAGGCGATTAGGCAAGTGATAGTAACTCAAACCGAGCACTCCTAAGCATTTATTTGGATTACTAGCAATGTTTTCACTTAAGGTTCGGGCAACATCCTTCCAACCCTCTAATGTCCTGGCCACTTTAGAGAGATGTCCCGCAATCACTGAAATCGTTAAGGGTAGTCCTTGGCATTTTTCTACTATTTCCTTTCCAATTTCTTCCAATGCAGGAGGATGATCATGTTTTGGTCCAAACACCTTATCACAAAGTAACTTCCAACCGTTTTCTAAACTCAAAAGTTTCATCTCATGAGGGCTACAAGTATTTGCATACATTGCTACCTCGTTTTCCCTAGTAGTCAATAAGATTCGACTTCCATTATTGTAATTAGGAAATATTCTACGTATACTATCCCAAACATCCCTACTCCAAAAATCATCAACAACAACAAGGTATCTTCGACCTTTTAGGTTCTTTTGCACCAGGTCAGCTAACTCATTGTCATCCATCTTATCATAATTTTTTGCGTTCACAATATCTGTTTGCTTTGAAATGCTGTTTAAAGCTTCTAACAATACATTTCTAGGTCGAAATTCTTGAGATATTGTAACCCAAGCAAGAATGTCAAAGTGATGCCTGATTGTGAGATGATCATAAGCTTTTTTAGCAAGTGTTGTTTTGCCAATGCCTCCCATGCCTGTTATTGTGACAACGTCTAGATCCCGTGGTCGTCCTTTCAACCTATTAACTATGATCTCCAAATTACCATCGAGTCCGTTCACGACATCATTTTCCAGCATTGTGTAACTTGTAGAAGAAGTGCCAATCAAGGAATCCCCGGATAATTCGAGAACTTGATCAGTATCATGAGAAACAATCTTTATCACTTGTTCCTTTGTTGTATCCATTTTTTAACAGCTTTTAGCAAATCCAGGTGTTGTGAAATTCCAAATTTCCACCTCGAGACTTTGACAATTCGAGAACTTTTCAGCTCAAGAACATCTTCTGCATAACTAGCAGCAACTCTAATTTTTTCCTCCAAAGATTTGATCTTTTCAGTGTCAAATCTACTCTTGCTAGCATTTTCAAGAACGTTTTGGAAATATTCGGCAGTAGCATGAAGAGAATCGAGCGCTTCAGCAGTGTGACCATGAAAGAGTTGTGGATTTCGTTGGTCAAGAGTTTGAAGAAGAGAAATTACAGCAGTATAGGCTGCCATTAAGTCAATATGGAAAGGAATTGAAACAAAATAATTCTTCAAGGAGTAGAGACTTGTTGTATTTATAGAAACTTGTTGTATAAAAAAGTTTCAAAACGTTGTACTTCGAATTGACAGTCCCAAAAAAATTTCAAATAGTAGTACTTAGAGTTAACAGTAGAAACTACCGCGAAATTGCTCCCAATTTTTTTTTCAAAACGTTGTTCTGTGAATTGACAGCAGAAACTACATTGAAATTGCTCCCAAAGAAATTTCGAGGAAATCAAGTCTAAAGTTACACTTGGATGTAAATACGGTTTATATGTCAATACATGAGAATTTTTTTAACGTTTTAATAGGGTATATGTGAGTCATTTGTATAACAATAAGGGTATATATGAGTCACTTTCATAACATGTATATATTAGCCACTTTCATAACGGGGTTTATCACAAAGTTGAGGGCTATATCAGACCATTTTCCCTATTTTTATGTGATTTTATTCATTTTTTTTTGGTATATATCCAAAATTAACTTATTTTAAGTACAAGATACTTGAAATCAAATATAAAAAAAATGTAAAGAAAATAAAAGAAATAGAAAAAAGATAAGAAATTTTTAAAGATTTTTTTTCTAAAAAAACATATATACACGTGGAGGCGCATGTATATCACTGGAACTAATTAAATTAGGTTGTGGCTCCACGTCTGCACATAAGGTGCAAAGCAATACAGAAAAAGAAGAAGTTTAGGGGTAATATGAAAAATAAAGTGTGTTCCTGAAATTTCGATCATAATTGAAGGGGCTACTTATGCCTTTTTCCAATTTTAATCCCACAGGTTGTAACAAAGAAGAACTCATAGTGTCTCAAGAATGGTCAGTTGCAGAATTGGTCATATTGTTAATCATTGTGACATTAGTAGCCCTAATGCTTGAGTTGTCAGAATTGGTCATTTGAGATCATAAATAATGTCCAAGTTGACATTATATTAAAGTTTTTTTAACGATAATGTCATAAAATAACAAATAGATTGTATAGCAAATATGGGGTACACACAAAAAGCGCGTGTCGAAAGACTAATATATAATAAACGTTGAACCTCATTGACTTGTTGTGTTTGTTTACTTGTTCATGTTTTGAACTTTCTTAATAAAAATCCTGGCTCCGCTACTAATTGAAAACAATCACTTTGTTCCTTGTTTGTTCCTCTAAAAGGCTAACTTAAAGAAGCAAGTTCCTCTGCGTGCCTTTGTTTGAGCTACACAACATAACTTTTAAGTGAAGAATGTTCAATATAATTTTCAGGTAGAAATCCTAGCTCCACCACTCTTCTATGATTGTAGCTCCGCCTTTACCTATGTAAGAAAATTGGCTTACAAAAAAGTAGACTTTTGTGTAGAACAAATGGTATATAGTATCATAGCAAAGGGTAGACACCTCTGTTTCTTAGAAAATGGCACAATATTATTCTCTTTTCGTCAAATAACCAACATTTGCATCAAACTTTTTCTACCTCAAGAGATGGGGACTTTACGCCAATGTATGTACTTGCTTAATGTATAATTGCAATGAGTTTCAACATCAATAGTATACGATAAAAAAGAAGTCAAAGTTCACAAAAAGTAAAAGAATCTCATTCATCGTCTACGTATCATTCCCCAAGACATCATGGAGATTATACACTATACATCTACTCTCTGACATTCCTATCAGAAGCAAAGATGGGAGAATCGAAGAACTGTTTAGAAGTTACAGTAATTGTTATGAATGATGTAGACCTTAAGGAAATTATTTCCCATATCCTCTTGTTCTTGTACAATATTTCTTGCAGAATCCTCAACACGAGGGGGGCAATCATGTAATTCAATTGATTTCAAAGTACAAATATCCCCAAAATCTGCTGGAATTTCTAGCAGTGTGTGGCAGCCCTTCAGAACAAGGCATTTTAGATTTGGGAAGTTATTACTGCTAGCTTCCCAATGAATAAGATTTGCGCCACTCAGTAGCAACAACTTCAAGCTTTTGAACTTGTTTTCATCACTCAATCTCCATTTACGACTAAAGGTTAGACAACGTTTAAGTTTGAGCTCTTCAAGATTTGGCAACATCATAGAAGTTGAGGATATGTCTACCCAATCAAAATCACTACACAGAGTTAAAGACAACCTCCTAAGTGATGTTGGAAAACCAATTCTCTTGATGGGGTGTCGAAAAAAAGTTGACCCATAAAACTTGAATGCTTCGAGTTTTATCAATCTGGACATATCCAATTGCCGATTGAAAATTTCATTTATTTCATATGGTAGATGAATGATCAACCTCTTTAGATTGGGAATGCCAGAGAAGACTTCATTTGTACAACTGGTGGAACAAAGAATAGAAAATTCCTCTAGATTTGGCATCCCTGTCAGAAGACTTTCTGTTCTAGGACTGGATAAAAAAAGGAGTCCCTTCATACGAATATACCTCAAGTTCTTCATCATCCATATCTTCCCAGGTAAAGAATAACTTCTATCTAAAGGATAACCACTAAATTTGGCATCCCTGCCACAAATTAGAGTTTGCAAATTCTGAAGCTCCGAGATTGAGTCAGGAATATCGTTGTGAAATGGAAATTGGAGATATCTCAAATGAAATAACTTTGTAATCACTAGTGGAAATGACTGACAACTTACATTTTCATTGAAGATGGCCAATACCCTGAGAAGGTTGAAACGAGAGAGAAATTCAAGAGGTTGATCAAAGTGAGAAAAAAGGTAAATAGATCTGGCGACAGGGGGTAATGCCTTACAATAATCATCAACTGAATAAGATAAGGCTTGAATACTGAAGCGACGAACATTATGCTTTTGTGTTTGGAAGAGTAGTAGGGTGAGTTCTCTCAACATGCATATGCTTTGTCATTTCAGCTTCTATCAAACAGAACTCACGCAGTAGATCATGTATTCCACATGCTTTTATCTCACCATTGAATCTCCTTTTTCTAGCCTGTATCAAGTTCCTGCTAATAAGGTCCTCCAAATAATCAATTGCCACTTCCTCCAAACTTTTACCATTTTGGAAATCCTTACAAAACCTTCTGCGATCCATAATTGGATCAGTCTCCGAGTATCAACCTGAAAATCCTCTGGGAAACTACTCATAGAAAGAAAGACAAGGTTTAAGGCGACTAGGCAAGTGGTGGTAACTCAAACCGAGCACTCCTAAGCATTTATCTGACTGACTAGCAATTATTTCACTTAAGGTTCGGGCGACATCCTTCCAACTTTCTAATGTCCTGGCCACTTTAGAGAGATGTCCCGCAATCACTGAGATTGTCAAGGGTAGTCCTTGGCATTTTTCTACTATTTCCTTTCCAATTCCTTCTAACTCAGGAGGATGATCATGTTTTGGTCCAAACTCCTTATCACAAAGTAACCTCCAACCGTTTTCTAAACTCAAAAGCTTCATCTCATGAGGGCTACAAGTATTTGCATACATTGCTACCTCGTTTTCCCTAGTAGTCAATAAGATTCGACTTCCATTGTTGTAATTAGGAAATATTCCTATTATACTATCCCAAACATCTGTACTCCAAATATCGTCAACAACAATAAGGTATCTTGGACCCTTTAGGTTCTTTTGCACCAGGTCAGCTAACTCATTGTCATCCATCTTATCATAATCTTTTGCGTTCACAATATCAGTTTGCTTTGAAATGCAATGTAAAGCTTCTAACAATACATTTCGACATCGAAATTCTTGAGATATTGTAACCCAAACAAAAATGTCAAAGTGATACCTGATTGGGTGATGATCATAAGCTTTTCTAGCTAGCGTTGTTTTGCCAATGCCACCCATGCCTGTTATTGTGACAACGTCTAGATCCCGTGATTGTCCTATCAATCTTTTAACTATTATCTCCAAGTCATCATCAAGTCCGTGCACAATATCATCTGCTGACTGATTTGACAAAATCGGGTAACTTGAAGAAAGAGTGCCTATCAAGGAATCCCCGGATAATTCAATAACTTGATTAGCATCATGAGAAAGAATCTCCATCACTTGTTTCTTTGTTGTATCCATTTTTTTAACAGCTTTTAGAAAATCCAGGTGTTGTAAAATTCCAAATGTCCACCTCGAGACTTTGATGATTTGAGAAATTTTCATCTCAAGAACATCTTCTGCATAACTTGCCGCAACTCTAATTTTTTCTTCCAAAGATTTTAACTTTTCATTGTCAAATCTACTCTTGTTAGAATTTTCTAGAACTTTTTGGAAATATTCAGCAGTAGCATGTAGAGAATCAAGCGTTTTAGTAGTATTACCATGAAAGAGCTGCGGATTTGGTTGTTCAAGAGTTTGAAGAAGAGAAATTACAGCAGTATAGGCTGCCATTAAGTCAATATGGAGAGAAATTGAAACAAAACAATTTGAAGGAGTAGAGAGGATGTAATGGGGGTACACAAAGGAAAAATAGGAAAGGGGATTACAAGGGGGAATTGAATGGTCACCATGAGCTTCTAAAAAATGAATCTCTTACCACCAAAGGATGTGTTGCAGTGTATGATGTTGTTTTTCTCTTAACTACATATATCGAGTTCGAGCCTTGGGTATGAAAAAATCTTTGGAAGGAAGCACTTTCCCCCGATGAGGGTGTTACACGCCGTAGTTCAAAATAATTGGACTTTAATACGCGTGTCGAACACCAGGCAAAAAATCAAGAAAAATAAAAAATGAATTTCTTTGAAATTTTGAAGGGTAGTACCTAGAATTGACAATTGAAACTATAATGTGAAGTTGCACCCAAAGAAATTTCAAAAAGTAGTACCTAGAGGCTGGAATTGATAATCGAAACTAGAAACTACCACAAAATTGCTCCTAAAGAAATTTCAAGGAAATGGAGTTGAAAGAACTATCTTGTGGTGCCTTCCTGTCACTATATTTATTATTGCAATAAAGATGGTTGTTGACTTTAGTTGGAGTTGGTACGAATTGATCAAAATGATCCCTAATGTATGGGGTTTGGATTCTTTGATCCTTTATATATACCACTTTATTAAAATAGTCCTTAATGTATGTAATATGTGATCGTTTTGGTCCTAAACTCTAATTCCCATTTTCATCTGATTAGTGAGATTCCCATTTGTAGAACAACGCGTGAAAGCACCAGTCATCAACGAAAAACACTTACATAGTTGAACAGACGAAAACAGATTCAAGTGTGAAACCAGTGATTCATGTACTCCATAGGCAAGATATAAAGTAGAAGTCATCATCTTAATTTCAAAGAGGTAATTAATAATGTGAAGAATCGAACAACTTTTTGGAGAGATTAAAAACTTACTGCGACTGTTACGGATGTAGACCTTAAGGGAATAATTTCCCTTGTCCTCTTGCTCTTGTTCAATCTCTCTTGCAGGATCCTCAGCAGTAATGCTGCAATCGTGTAACACAATTGACTCCAAAGTACCAATTTCGCCAAATCTGCTGGAATTTCTTTCAGCCTGTAGCACTTCTTCGGTATGAGGCGTTTTAGATTTGGGAAGTTATTACTGCTAGCTTTCCAACACTTGAGATCAGAGCCACTCAGTAACAACAATCAACAACTTCAAGCTTTTGAGCTTGTCTTCATCACTCAATCTCCATTCATCAATCAAGGTTTGACAATGTTTAAGTTTGAGCTCTTCAAAATTTGGCAACATCATACCAGTTGGATATATGTCTGCCCAGAGAAAAAATCACTACACGAAGTTTGAGCCCTTCAAGATTTTGAAGCTCTGAGATTCATACAGGAATATCTCAGTTCAATCTAACTTGAATATATCTCAAATGAAACAACTTTGTAATTACAAGGGGAAATGACTTGAAGTATCCATTTGTATTGAAAATGGCCAATACCCTACGAAGGTTGAAATGAGAGAAAAACCATGTATTATAGGATCACGGTGGTAGATGGGAAATACAAAATCACAAATGGGCCAGACATGTATTAAACATGCTTATTTCAAAAACATGAATTTACAAATGATCAGAACATAAAATCGAAAGATTTTACTTTTCATAATATAAACTAAAACATTCTGCATTTGGAAGATGACATTAGATGGTCCCTCAAACTAAGCAACAGTCCCCTGCATATGAAAGATCAAAAGTAGAAGTCATCATCTTAATTTCAAGATAAACAAAGATAAGAGAATCGAAAAACTGTTTAGAACTTACAGTCATTGTTATGGATGATGTAAACCTTGAGGATATTATTTCCCATGTCCTCTTGTTCTCGTTCAATATTTTTGGCAGAATCCTCAGCAGTAGCGCTGCAATCATGTAACTCAACTGACTCCAAAGTACAAATTTCCCCAAAGTCTGCTGGAATTTCTTGCAGATGGCGGCACTTCTTCAGAACAAGGCGTTTTAAAATTGGGAAATTATCACTGCTAGCTTCCCAATGCTTAAGATTTGTGCCACTCAGTAACAACAACTTCAAGCTTTTGAACACATCTTTATCACTCATTCTCCATTCATCACTCAATCTACATTCATTACTCAAGGGTTCATAATGTATAAGTTTGAGCACTTCAAGATTTGGCAACATCATAGCAGTTGATGATAGGTCTGCCCAATCAAAATAGCAACACTGACTTAAAGACAACCTCCTAAGTGATGTTGGAAAACCAAATCTCTTGATGGGATCTCTCAAATAAGGTGCCCCGTATAACTTGAATACTTCGAGTTTTGTCAATCCGGACAAATCCAATTGATGATGGGGAATTCCTTTCGAGATATGAGGTAAATGAATGATCAAGACTTTTAGATTTGGAATGCCAGAAAAGACTTCCTTTGTACAACTGAAGTAACAAACACCAGAAAGTTCCTCTAGGTTTGACATCCCTGTCACAAGACTTCCTATTCTAGGACTGGGTAAATGAGAGGGTACCTCCAGACATATATACCTCAAGTTCTTCATCATCCATATCTCCCTAGGTAAAGTATGACCACTACAAATTAGAGTTTGCAAATTGTTAAGCTTTGAGATTGAGCCAGGAATTTTGACGTGAAATGGAAATTGGAGATATCTCAAATGAAATAACGTTGTAATCACAAGTGGAAAAGACTCGAACCATACATCTGTATTGAAGATGGCTAATACCCTGAGAAGGTTGAAACGAGAGAAAAAATCATGTGTTATATGATTATGACGGTAGATGGGCAATATCATGAGAAGCTTAATATAGGGTTCAAGAGGTTGATCCAAGTGAGAAAATAAGAAAATAGATCTTGCAACAGTGGGTAATATCTCAGAAAAATCAGCAAATGGATAAAATCTGGGTTGAAAACTGAAGTGACGGGCATTGTGCCTTTGTGTTGGAAGAGTAGGGCGAGTTCTCTCAACATGCATATGCTTTGTCATTTCAGCTTCTATCAAACAAAACTCACGCAGTAGATCATGTATTCCACATGTTTTTATCTCACAATTGAATCTCCTTTTTCTAGCTTGTATCAAGTTCCTGCTAATAAGATCCTCCAAATAATCTATCGCCACTTCCTCCAAAGTTTTACCATTTTCAAAAGTCCTAATTATGAAACCTTCTGCAATCCATATTTGGATCAATCTCCAAGTCTCAACCTGAAAATCCTCTGGGAAATCACCCATGGAAAGAAAGCAAGGTTTGAGGCGATTAGGCAAGTGGTGGTAACTCAAACCGAGCACTCCTAAGCATTTATCTGGATGACTAGCAATGATTTCACTTAAGTTTCGGGCAACATCCTTCCAACATTCCAATGTCCTAGCTATTTTAGAAAGATGTCCCGCAATCACTGAAATTGTCAAAGGTAGTCCTTGGCATTTTTCTACTATTACCTTTCCAATTTCTTCCAATTCAGGAGGATGATCACGTTTTGGTCCAAACACCTTATCACAGAGTAACCTCCAACCGTTTTCTAAACTCAAAAGCCTCATCTTATGAGGGCTACAAGTATTTGCATACATTGCTACCTCGGTTTCCCTAGTAGTCAATAAGACTCGACTCCTATTGTTACAATCAGGAAATATTCGTCTTAGGCTATCCCAGACATCCGTACTCCAAATATCATCAACAACAAAAAGGTATCTTTGACCCTTTAGGCTCTTTTGCACCAGCTCTGCTAACTGATTGTCATCCATTTTATTATAATCTTTTGCATTCACACTAACTGATTTCTTTGGAATACAATGTAAAGCCTCTAACAATACATTTCTAGCTCGAAATTCTTGAGATATTGTAACCCAAGCAAGAATGTCAAAGTGATACCTGATTGTTACCTGATCATAAGCTTTTTTAGCGAGTGTTGTTTTGCCAATGCCACCCATGCCTGATATTGTGACAACGTCTAGATCCCGTGGTCGTCCTTTCAATCTATTAATTATGATCTCCAAGTCATCATCAAGTCCCTGCACAATATCATCTTCCAACATTGGATAACGAGTAGAATAAGTGCCAATCAAGGAATCCCCATATAATTCAAGAACTTGATCAGCATGATGTGAAACAATCTCCATCACTTGTTTCTTTGTTGTATCCATTTTTTCAAAAAGTGGTAGCAAATCTTGGTGTTGTAAAATTCCAAATGTCCAGCTTGAGCCTCTGACGATCTGAGAAATTTTCATCTCAACAACATCTTCTGCATAACTAACAGCAACTCTTATTTTTTCCTCCAAAGATTTGATCTTTTCAGTGTCAAATCTACTCTTGCTAGCATTTTCAAGAACGTTTTGGAAATATTCAGCAGTAGAACGAACAGAATCGAGCGCTTCAGCAGTGCGACTATAAAAGAGTTCTGGATTTCGTTGGTTAAGAGTTTGAAGAAGAGAAATTACAACACTATAGGCAGCCATTAAGTCAATATGGAACGGAATTGAAACAAAATAATTCGTCAAGGAGTAGAGAGGATGTAATTCAAGATATCAAATATTACTCTTTTATATTTGTAGAAACTTATTGTATACATCCTCTTCTCCCACTTTTTATTACTTCTCCTTTTCCTATAGTAAAAAAAATGAAATTCTTTAAATTCGAAAAGGTAGTACTTAGAATTGACAGTAAAAGTAGAAACTACCGCGAAATTGTCCAAAATATAAGAAATTTCAAGGAAATTAAATGGCTTTGAATGACTTTTTCCTAGTACCCATCACTATTATTTCAATAAAGATGGTTGTTGGATAGGTGAGAGTTGATAATTGTGTAATGAATAGCTGTTTGATGCACCTACACTTTTTTAGTGACGTGACACCTAGTTTTTTTAAACAGAAAAATCGATAACATTAAACCGAAAATATTCAAACCAAAAAGCCTTCTATCGGACCTAGGTTACCCGGTCTGAACAACTTAGATAACTTTGGCTCAATTCTTATATTTATGTTAAGAAATTTCCTTAAGTTGTATAATAATGTATCCTTAATTCAGTAAGCAAAAAAAAAGTGTGAGTTTAGAACCTTTTTTTTGGTAGTACCAACAAACGTGAATTACATGAGCAAAAAATCATATTTAGTACTCATTATGGCAAAAACAACTTTTAATGGCAATAAATATACACATTAACAAAGAGTGCTAAAACCTTTACCATAATTAGGTAATTGCCATTGGATTCAATGTCGCTATTGTTAATTTGTATACAATTGATCAATTCAGATTCACCATTTACAGATCCAATAGAGAGAAGAAAGAAAGGAGAAGAATCTTATTTCAGTGAAAAATGAATTAATTGCGTGATTACAATGCAACAGTGCCTTATATACACTGTTAGATTTCTCAACTAACTGACAGTTGACTTAACAGCTTGCCTAATTTCTAAATTGCCATCAACTAACTTTTCATACAAAATTAAGTAATTCCTAAATCATTACTCCCTCTCAAGCTGGTGGGTGAGAAAACATTAAACACACCAAGCTTGCCAACTAAACATTCATGTTGTGATCTATGCAGTCCTTTTGTTAGTATATCTGCAAGTTGCTCTTTGGAGCTTACATGTTCTGTTCTCATCATTCCTGCCTGTATTTTTTGTCTAATAAAGTGACAATCAATTTCTATATGTTTCGTCCTCTCATGAAATACTGGATTAGCTGCTATTTGTGGTGCTGCCTTACTATCACTGTATACCACAGCTGGCTGTTCAGCCTCATTTCCCAATTCCTTCAATAAAGCAATGATCCATACTAACTCTGAAACAGCATTGGCCATGCTTCTGTACTCGGCTTCTGCTGAACTTCTGGAGACTACATTTTGCTTCTTGGACGTCCAAGACAATAGTGTCTGACCATGTTTAACCAGAAATCCTGACACTGATCTTCTTGTATTTAGGCATGCTGCCCAATCTGCATCACAGTACACACTTAGTTTGTTTGATTTTCTGCTACTCAACAGTATTCCCAGTCCTGGTTCTCTTTTTATGTATTTCATCATCCTTACGGCTGCCTCCCAGTGTGACCGTTTTGGTTGTTGCAAAAACTGACTGAGTGTTTGCACTGAATATGCAATGTCTGGTCTTGTCAAAGTTAAATATAACATCTTCCCCCACTAATCTCTGATATTGCTCCCTATCTTCATATGGCTCATCACCTAATTCCCCTGTAAGGCAGTCTAATTCTTGATTTGTCAGCTTCACTTTGGCTTCAAGTGGAGTCCAAGCTGGCTTAGCAGTCCCTAGTCCCAAATCTGAAATAATCTCCGAGGCGTACTTCCTTTGGTTCATCAGGATTGCTTCTGAGGATCTACTGAACTCCATACCAAGAAAAAACTTCAATTCCCCAAGATCTTTGATTTTAAATGCCTTGTGTAGAGTGATTTTAGTATGTTCTATAAGACTCAAGCTACTCCCTGTGACCAACATGTCATCCACATAAACAAGAATCACCACCATGTCTGATCCTTGCCTTTTAATGAATAATGAATGGTCTAGGCTGCTTTGAACAAAACCAGACTCCAATAATGCCTCACTTAACTTTAAGTTCCATTGTCTGCTTGCTTGCTTGAGACCATAGAGGGATTTGACAAGTCTACATACAAGTCTAGACTCCCTCTGACTTGCCAAACCCTCAGGTAGCTGCATATAGACTTCATCATGAAGGTCTCCATGGAGAAAAGCATTATTGACATCTAACTGGTGGACATGCCAGTTATGTTGAGCTGCTAAGGAAAGAACAGTCCTAACAGTAGCTATTTTAACCACGGGAGAAAATGTTTTATGAAAATCAATCCCCTCCCTTTGAGTGTAACCTTTGGCAACCAACCTAGCCTTAAATCTTTCAATATCACCATTTGCCTTCAATTTAACTTTGTATACCCATTTACAACCAATAGGAACCTTACCCTTAGGAAGAGGAACTAAATCCCAAGTATGGTTATCCTGGAGGGCTTGTAATTCAGATTTCATAGCCTCCAACTATCTAACATCTGAAACAGCCTCCTTATAAGAAGTAGGCTCAACAACAGCAGAGAAAGCCTGCAAATATCTCTGGTAAGAAGGGGATAGGTGACCATAAGAAATGGAGGCTGCAAGAGGGTACAAAACAGCATTGGTAGAAGGTTTGGAAACAAAATCAGATAACCAAAGAGGCTGTTTGGTTTGCCTGATAGACCTTCGAAGAGGCTGTGTAGTAGGAGGTGGAGTAGGATGGAGAGGGGATGACAAAGGAACGGGAACAACAGAAGGAGAATGAACTGGGCTGATAGGAGAAAATGAACTAGAAGGTATATCAGAAGGAACATCTGAGAAGTCAGAAATATTGGTGAGATCAGGTGGAGTAGGAAAATGAGGATTAACAACAGTGGGAATGTGTTGAAAAGGAAACTGGTCCTCATGGAAGACCACATCCCTATTGACAAAAAAATTCTGATGTTGAAGATCAAAACAAATGTAACCTTTTGTAAGACTAGAATAGCCCATAAACACTGATCTCACTGCCCTAGGAGCAAATTTATCATTTCTAGGAAGTGAGTTTGCATAACATAGGCAACCAAGTGTTCTCAAATGAGTAAGACAAGGCTTCTTCCCAAAAAACACCTCAAAAGGGAACTGTCCTGCTAGAGTCTGAGAGGGCAATCTATTAATGATATATGCAGCTGTAAGTATACAATGACCCCAATAGTTGAGTGGTATATGACCCTGAAATCTGAGAGCCCTAGCAACTTCAAGAATGTGCCTTGTTTCCTCTCAGCAACCCCATTCTGCTGAGGGGCATGAACACAAGTCCTGTAATGAATGATACCCAATTCTTTGAACAAGTCCTGTAAATGACTATTAATAAATTTCCTCCATTGTCTGTTCTTACACCTTTAACAGTAGTATTGAACTGAGTAACAATCATTCTGAAAAATTGTTTTAAAACTGACAACACATCACTCTTGAACTTTAACAAAAAAATCCATACAGTTCTGGAGAAATCATCAACAATAGTGAGAAAGAATTTGTTGCCATCAAATGTTGGAGTATTATAGGGTCCCCACACATCTAGATGCAACAATGTAAACATTGCAGTAGATCTTGTACTGCTGCTAGGAAAAGGAAACCTAGTATGTCTAGCCAATGGACAGATCTCACATTTGTTTAAAATTGACTTACAATCATCAATAGAGTAACCTAACATATCATGTAGTGAACCAATTGAAGCATGTGCTAATCTCCTATGCCATAGCAAAATATCTCTTTGATCATCATGTGTAGAAAAACTGTACAAAGAGTGTTAATTGCCGTTAAAGATCATTTTTGGTATAGTGACTGTTTCTAGCAGAGCAGTAACAAAGAGGTGAAATACTGAATTGTTTTAAACTGCAAGCAAAAACTATCATTCTTTTGTCTACTTCTTTTCAGATATGAACCTCTATTTATTTAAGATGTTAAACAAGAAAAATACAATGTAAAACAAGGAAAGGTAAAACCATGGTGTTCCAACATAATGTAGGAAACGACTTGTTACAGCGTCACCGTGCAAGCTGATTCCATCAAACCAGCTGCAACTCCCCCTCATTTGATGAAGAGACCAGCCTGTTGGTTGATTAGAACTGCTGTTTTTCTTTATGAGGGATGCCTTCTCGCATTAGTTTTGAGTGAGAGATTGTAACAACTCCAATTTCACAATAGAAACATTCAAATATTATAATCACTAAACTCGAAGTTACAACGGAAAGCGGAACTAACAAAGAAAATTATTGTAGAAGATAACTAGAAGGGAGATGAGAAGCATAGACTCAAAGAAAGGGGATGAGAGGACTAGACATTTTTTTCAACAATTTGCATAATCCCTAAATCACATACCACTACCCTTTTTGATGGAACCGTTCCCACACCCGCTTCTCAACCTGGATCCCAAATTAGCCTGACCCTATTACTTGTTCTTGGCCCAATAGCTCTTGTCAGCCCAATAACTACTTTTGTGACCTTGGTATCCACACCGGGCTGGACTTGGTTCATAACAGAGATCTTCAGAAAAATTCTCTGCATTGGTAGGTAGGCTGCATCACTATCTTTTGCAGTTTCAGAAGAGCTTCTCTGGCGTCTTCCCATAGATATTGTTTCCTCCTCCTTCTTGTTGTGGTTTCATATTATAAATTCAGGCCTCTCAATTGCATCCTTGACAATGTCGAATTCATCCGTGCAAAACATTTCCGTAGTTTGGCAATGTCATCTTTGTCTTCCAGAAACCTTTCAAGTACATTGGGATCTTGCTGAATTTTCTTGCTGCCAGCTAAATGATAGAAAATTGATACTCCATCAGCATCCTAGCTTTCCACTCAGATTCTGAGTGATTTACAGCATTGTTTGCGGGAATTCTGTTAGGATCTGATTCAACGTGTTCTCTGTATTGTTGAAGCAAGCTCCTGTGAAGCTCACTGACCAGACAACTTAGCCCTGGAAATGATGATAAAATAGTCTGAGCGATGCAATGTCCCCAAGCGTATTTCCTCTATATTGTTGA